TGACCGGCCCGCCAGTACCATAGTTTGTTTAGTGATAGCATAGGATTTATTTAAGACCCGGAGAAACCGGACTGTATTGTACGCAACCTCTCGCAGGTGTTGGTCATCGAGACAGACCCGACAGGTAGGCGGGTGAGAGTTGATGATGTGGATACCCTCATCAGAGACAGACACCAATCAGCCATCCAACCAAGATAGCAGAACCCCCAATAACCTATATGATATCCCGAAGCCCCCGGCCCGTCAACCCACAGAGGACGATAGGATCTCCCACAACATTCGATGCCAACCCCAACCCCAACTCCAACTCGAGCGCTCCAGCACTACACACTTGGTATCGTATCATAATATTATCATATCATATCATATCATATCCGAAACCGTGAAGGGGGAGTGTGCCACCAACCCTTGACCTCAACGGAGAAGCTCACGCGGAAACCTACCGAACCCATCCACCATTTATGGACCACAAAAATTCAACTCCGATACCGGTATGATACCGGTGTATATAGGGAAGACGCACATATTTAGGGTTGGGGAGGATGAGGAGGGCCACTGCGCAATGATACAAGCAGTACGGTAGCGCTCTGCACAAGCTCGAATCATGGACTTGGCCGGTATTATGTATGATTGATAAAGCCTAGCAATGGGCAGTGGGTGAGTGGGTGGGTGGGTGTGCATGGGGGCGGGGGGGTTGGCATAATACACTATCTAATACTGTGGATACTGTGAAAAAATAAAAATAAAAACTTGTTAAATTTGATATCAGGGGGGGGGGGCATCTTGACTTGACTTGACATTTCCCACAGTCCAAATCCCAAAAAGAAAAGAAAAGAAAAAAAATAACACAAACACCTGGGAAAGGGTGGTGATGGTATGTATATAATTATATAGCTTGAGCTTGCTTGCCAGATCTCATTATCTGGGTATCAATTATTTCATTAACCTAGCCTAACCTAACCTAACATACTCCTTTCGAATTCTCAGAAATCCAGTTGTGAGATCCAGATATTTTATTTTACTGTCCTCCTCCCTGCTAGAGGACGTGAGTGAGTGAGGGCAGACTAGAAGAGTGAAGGATGAAAAAAGCAGCCCGATGTGTACTCTCGGGCATTATCAACACAACCTGTGACCGATCATATCGCATCAATCGCCCCAAGCCTCATTTCCCTCTGGCACATAAACGAGAAAATCTCTCGGGCTCCCGGTAGAGAACAGAGTGCTGGATTGCCCCGGGCCACGCATACATACAGCACTACGCCACCTACACTTTCCAGTCCCCCCGCCACCCGCTCAGCTCAGGCTGGCATTACCAAACGAATGATACCGCCCGGGTTAAACCCCCACCCCTCCACAAGTGCCTCTACTACATTGTCCTTCTAAAGCCCACACATAAATCATTTCCCCTCCTAGCCCCCCCCTCCCCCCATCACAAGTTTCCTGTTTAAATTTCACATTCACATGCCCAGATATTCCTTCTTTCATCCGCTTAACAGTTCTAATTTCTCGACCTCGGCCCCCTCTTACTACTCTTCCCCCTCGCCTCCCTCTACGCACCCCGACTACCTACCACAACTAATTACCTATACTTACCTAACAGCCAGCGAAAACCAAGAAAAACAGCGAAAAACACAAACATCCACCCAATCCCGACCTAGTGTTCAACAGACTCCGCAACTCAAGTCAAGTCAAGTCAATCCAGCCCCCCAATACCCCACCCCTCCTCTGGCAGCCAGCTAGCCAGTAAAGTGCGAATGAAAGTACGCACATAAAGAATCAGAATAGCCACCGCCCTTGACGAAAAAAAGGTTAGATGAGATGAGATCAGCCTACGATGAAGCCGGCCTCCCGCAAGAGAAAAAGCCTGAAAAGGGGAGAAGTGAAAAAAAAATAAAAAAAAAGCGATAGAGCATGTGGAGAACCCTCCGCTAGGTACGCACGTGAGGGAGGGAGGGAGGGTAGACTCCGGCGAATTGAATAGAAAAAAGAGGGTATATGAGAATTGATATGATAGGAGTCGGATAAGCATCGACCTTAACATCCACAGGTAAAAATACCAGTAAATGCGGAGGTGATGGCAACAAGACACAATGAAAAAAGAGCATGAAAAAAGACAAACAAAGAGCAAAAAAGCACAAATAGCCACCCATTTTGATTCCCTCCAGTTCCAAGGTAATTATAAAACAAAACGAAATGGAACAAGAAAACATCCACACAACGCAACACCGTACCGTGCCGAGATCAGAAAAGGGATGTATGAGCAAGATGTGAAAGAGTTAATGGAAACGTAACCATGGCCAGCTATAAGAAAGAAAAGAGAGATGAAACATCAAAATCAAAAATCCCCATCCATTTTCCCATTTTTTGCCTCCGAAATTCGAAATCACAAGCAAGACGCAAGCAAGACAAGACAAAAGCAAGATACCTCCCGATGACAAAGAGCAAAAAGGAATAGATAATGAAAAAAAAAAAAGAAGGGGGGGGTGAAGAAAAGACAGGGATACAGTCATAAAAGTTAATAACTGAACACCAGCAAAGAAAAAGAGTAAGAGATACTGTAGAAGGAAAAAAGGCCCCGATTAATACCTCCGGTTAATCATCGCCTCCGCAATCCTCGCTCCTTCGACTGCAAGCCTATCCGCCTCGGAATTCCCATCATTCCGGCCCGTGTGACCTTGCACCCATTCGAAACTAGTCTTGCTCCCATACCTCTCACGCTCTTTAAGTTTTTCCAGGATCTGTATGATAAGGTCCTGATTCTCGACCGGTCGACCAACGCTTGTAATCCAGTTGTTCTTGCTCCAGTTGATGTGCCAGACAGTGACGCACTTGATTGCGTACTCCGAGTCAGTGTATATGGCCACCTCGCGGTGCATGGGGGCGACATTTATAGCGCGGAGGATTGCGGTTAGTTCTGCACGGGAATTCGTTTGGCGGGGGCCCGGAAGGGGCTCAGAGATGTTTCTGCTGGGGGCGTTAGTAAGTAGAGGGGATAGTTGGGGGGTGGGCGAATGGGGATTCCGGGTACCTGGAGTCTTTGTCGCCAAACCAGACGCCAACGCCAGCGATTGCGGAGGGTTTTCCATTGCGGAGGGCACTACCATCGGTGTATATCCGTAGGATGGAGCTCTTTTTGGCAATGACCCGCGGCTTTGGTTTGACCTCGTCGTTGTTGACCAGGGTGGCGTTAGAGTCAGAGCTGTCCTCATCACTAGTCCCGTTGTCCTCTTCCCGCAAGCGCCCGTCCAAAGCGCGCAGGACAGCATCATCATCAGGATGCATTTCCTGGGGAGCAGCCTCCTCAAGCATTGGGGGGTCACAAAGCAGCGCCATTTTTAGCTTTGTCTCCTCCTGATTCAAATTATTCCCTACGCTCTTCCGCTTTTTCGGCATCGGGGTTCTGGTCTCCAACTCTGACGAATCCTCGCCACCATATACCGCCGTCTTGCTAGGAGCAGCGGCATCCCCGGCCCCCGCCCGAACGGGCCTCTTCCTATCATCGACGCTCACAGGTGATAACCCTCCCGACCCACCACTATTGACAAATGCCTCTGCTTCCTCGCGGGTGGCGAAACATCTCACCTTCGGCTTCTGCACACCAACCACCTGCTGCTCCGCAGTAGCCCAGTCCGTATAAACTCCGGGATTCTTGCCACTTCGAACGCCATAGTACTTTGCAGTGTAAGAAGCGGAATTCGGGTCAAGCGTAGGATCGACTCCGTTAAGGAAAAGTTGTGCCTCCTCTTCGGAAGGAAAAGATTTGACTATTGCAGACGAAAAAAAAAAAGCATAGTCAGAAACCTGGTGCACAATTAAGGCATCACACTTTGGGTTTCGTGGAATCCACCTACACTTTGCTCCCTTGAACCCTTTGATCTGTGACATGCAATCCGCCCATGAGGTATACACCCCCGGATGGAAACCGGATCTCACAGCATAATACTTCATCTCCCCCGTCCTCTTCCGCTTTGTACCGGCGACGGTCCCGCTGGTATCGTGGGCCGCCAGAGCGGACGACGATGAGACAACCGAAGAAGCCACTTTGATTGATTTGAGATTGACTGCGATTTCCACCGCCCTTTGCACTCTTGCTCAGCCAAGAGGTTTGATCGAAAAAAAAATTGGTCGAGGACACTCAGAATGGAATGCAGTGAGACAGAATCCGCAAGCGTGGTGATATGTAGTGGATAAGGCCGAGAAGATATAAGTAGGGGGAGCAGTAAGGGCTAGTTGGCTGCTGCTAGCTACAAACGTGGGAGGGTACGAGTAGAAAGAGCGGGGTCCTAGGAGGGGGGAGGGATGGAGGGGGGGTGGTAATGGGAAAGAGGGACCAGAGAATGGTGGAGGGTGCCGAATGAGTAGGAGGTTAGTGGAAGGGGGGGGGAGAGAGGATTGGAGAGGGAAGGAGTGAAGAGGAAGAAAGAGAAGAAAGGAAGATAATGGTCTTTCCGGGGCGAGACGCGTTTGGTTTCGTAGGCTCTGGCGGCGGCTCGTAAATGACGTACAGAACGACCCGTGCACGAGTGAAGGGGGTTGATAAATAAATACTTCTTTTGGGGGGGCAACCGTATCGCAGACTGCTGTATTCACCCGGCCGTATATATATCTCGAGCCGGCAACCCTTCAACCAGAACAATTCAATCGCCAGTCCTTTTCCAAGATGTAGAGGAGAGTACCGCTCTTTAGGATGGATGGCTAGGTACTGGACACTCACTGGGGGAGGGGAGAAGGAACCACATACAAGCGTACACACTGAGGAGGAGAGGAACTCTAGGCGCAGGGGGGGTGTATGGGTAGATGGGTATATGGGGGGTGCGTGAATCGGTGGGAGAGAGGGGGGGGTGGGAGAGTGCGATGGGTGGAGGTAGGGTGGAGCACAGTGGAGGGGGGGTGTGCAGGAAGGGGGGGGTTGTTGGAAAGTGCACTAGACTAACTATTCGCGTCTTCTTTGTTGTTCAACACCCCCCCCCCTCCCCTCCTCCCTCCATCTTCACCCCTCCCCGCCCCAGAATAGTACTGGTACTACAAATACTAGAGACCGTTGGAAGGGATGGGCAGAAGGTGTGAGTGAGATAGAGAGGAGGTATCATACATACGAGGAAGGAAAATGAAAGAGCCAGGAGTGAGAGAGGGGGGGGATATGGAAGTCTCGATCATCAAATGACAAAACCTCCCAAGAAGCGGCTCTTTTCATTATCGACGATGCATCATTGAAAAGGTACGTGCGCAACACATGGGGTGGGGAGGCAGAGCCAGACGCACGGGGGCGGGATGGAGTTCTATTTCATGTTTCCTTCTTGCCATCCTCTTTTTTTTCTCTCTTCCCTCTTCCTCCCCCTGGATCCTATAAACATGTAGAGCACGGCAATGTACGATCTGAGGGAAATCCTTCTGGGGTTTTCATATAACTTACAATTGAGATCCAAAAGGGTTTTATCTTAAATGACAACTCACAGTTGTGAGTCATATAATATTGTGACTTTTGTGTATAACTTATAAGTATGAGTTACAGGTCTGACGCATGTAATGCATTGGGCACAACGTCACTTGTTGTAAGGATTTTGATTGGTTTATGTATGATTAGGTATTGACTCATACGAGTCAAGTGTCAGTATACATAGCGAGGTCCAGGAATGTCGGGCATACCACGCTCCGTCGCTCCTATTTTCCTCCCACATAGTTTGACAACACCACGTCAACTATCGTGGGCTCCTCCCCACTCCCCTCTGCCCCCTTGATGGTTTCTGCCTAGGAGCACGGTTAACTCTTCCATCCTCTCCAGGGTGTATTTCGCTGCTGTATAGTGGGGGTGAGAGGAGGATTGTTGGTGCCTGCGAGCAGAGAAATGTCATGGGGGTGCAATCTGCTTATGATATAGCAAGACGCGTATGTACGCAGCCCGGTCAGGGATTGAATCCAAACTGGAGTGGTATTCGCTTGGGTAAGTCATCGAGGAGCAAAAAAAGAAGAAAGAAGGAAAAGAAAGAAAGGAAAAGAAAAAAAAAGACAAGGGAAAGGAAGGAAGGGGGGAAGGGCACAAAAATTAGAGGAGGGGAGGGGGGTTAGAACTTAACTTTAGAAGTGTGGAGAATGGTGAATGGGTTGGAGGAAGGGACGGGGAGAGGTAATCGTTCCACGAATGGGAGGAGAGGGAAGAATTCGCGAAGGCGGGGTTCGTGGGACGTTTCGACGACGACAAGGAGAAGTAAAACTACGATAAAAGTAAAAGGTAAGGCAAAACAAAGCACTCCTCGTCCTCTCTCCCCTACATAACGACCCCAACCCAGCCCAACCCCGATACCACATCTTATGATATTGTGCCGGTACATGCCCTGCCTACCTACCTACCCTCTACCTCACAAGTACTGCGTCATACCATCATCGTACAAGTAGAGGCAAACAAAACCCATGAAAACCCGTGTGCAACTCAAAATACAAATCTCAAGAGACCCCCCCCCCATGACCAACCCACACAAACGCAATCCCACCAAAGGAGAACCCTCCCTCTCTCTCCCATACTTGTACAGTACTAGTACCGTACAAGTATTGATATGATACAAGCAGATGTACAGTACTCCCCTCCCCTCCCCCCACCAACCACTACACTACGCTGCCCAGCCTTCCCACTCCCCCCCAGCCTCCCATTCCATACTCCATCATACTCGACCATCCATCCATAAACCCGCCTACCAGCAGCAGCGCCAGCAGTAGCAGCAAGCTACCGCACCGTACCGTCCATCCTCTTTCACTTTCCCTCTCCACTACTGTAACCAACGCAACCTTACTGCACCCCACCATTCCATTTCTTCCCCTTCCTCCCTCCTTCCCCTCCCTACCGTACATTTCGGACTTGACTCGATTAAATATGGTACAATACGTATGAGCACTCACTCTATCACCGATGGAGAGAGAAAAAAAGCACACCAACAACAGCCAAGAATTCGAAAATGGCCTACCAAAAAAGAAACCCAAACCTAAACCTGAGTCGAGTCGACTTGACTTTAACACCCGTTGCCGTATGATTACTTCTCGTGAGGGGGGGGGGCTGTTACCAATCGGGCGAGTAATAAAGAGGAAAAGGCTTTCTTTCTTTCTTTCTTTCTTTCTTTCTTTCAGTTGAGAAAGTAAGCATGGTCACCGTTCTTGTCGCGGCGAAAGAGGAGGAGGAGGAGGAGGAGGAAGGAGGAAAGAGCATCATG